AGTTTAAAGACCCTTGCAATGATGTCATGTCTGTCTGTTGGCTTTTGGTTTGGATAAAGCTCAACCTGGATCTCCTTCCATTTAGGATTGTAAGTGAAGATGATAAAAAGATCGGGCCTCCCATATTGCCTGATGTACGTCATGGCATCATGAGTCTTCTCATGCATGTATCTTGGTGCAACTAATCTACCCACATTCTGAGCGTTTGCATCTACGTCAGCATTAATAGCGTCCCTGAGATGAGCATACTGTTCTAAACGCAGGCGTTTTTGATGAAGTTGAATGTAGAGAAGGCGCTCACTCTCAATTTTGGCATCGTCATCAACAACATACTGGTGAAAGAGGTTGGCGCACCGTAATATGGAGTTTCCTCCTTGTCTGTCCATGATTATGAAGGAATAGAAGTCTTTAGAGGAGACAGTTTTGTGATGATGTCTTTGTCCTGTAGCTTTGATAATTTGAGAAATCTGGCCGTGCTACCCATCTTGGACTTGCCACAGTAAAATGGGGTATTGTAGGGCATCCTATGCTCTGTTTGTCTCATGAATTCGTTTGATAGTGCTGTCTTGGTATCAAAGCACAATGTCTCTCTTACCATAGTCCTCAGCCACCGTAAGAACAGTAACTTCAACACAAGTAGGGGCATTGAACCTCCCTGCGTGCTCCCCGCATGGGTGGAAAGAAAAGGTGCAGTTCGCCAAATTGAAAATGGTTGCTTTTCCCAACAATGTAACAAAAAATTAGACGAAATGTAATCAGCTGTAGCAAAGAAAGTCCAACGTATTTAGCAGTCTAACATAGAAATCAGCATCGCAGTACTACATATCAGTAAATAGCGTGACGTGAGCAAACAAAACAATTGAAATGCATTGAAGAAGGTAGAATAAGTCTACATTATAGAGCAGCAGTACGCACACTTAAGAAGCAGGCTACAGTCTAGATTATAGACTGCCAGTATGCTGACTCAATTACATAAGCGTTGCTGCAGTCGACATAATAAGCTGGCAATACGATCAGCAGCTTAAAAAGCAGGCTGCAGTCTACATGAAAGACTGGCAGTACACTGCCCAAGGTAAAGAACCAGGAAACGGTGCACATTATAGACTGGCATACACTCACCCTGCCTCATAGGGGCCATCCATAAATGACGTCACGCACCTAGGGGGGGGGGGTCAGACATTTGTGACGATGTGTGACGAGGGGGGGGGGGTTGAGAAATGTGACGTTACATCAAAATGTGCAACTTTAAATAAATATAGACAACACGTTCTACTTAATTAAATAGACGTGTGTTACCTCGCGCAGTGTCAACACAAAAGATAAATAAATGGCCCATCACCCCCACCAAACACGTGTGACTTGGTAGGGCCCCCCCCTACCGAACGCGTGTGAGTTGTATGGTCGAGCGCGCGCTAGCTAATAAATAAATAACCGAAAACAGCAGTAAATTGCGAATTAAACTACCTTAAAGGTGACGGACGCGAAATCGGAATAGCGCTGACTCAGCACGGGACTTATGGCGTGCTACCTGGCAACTTTTGTTTAGCGTAACCACCACGGTTTGCGAGCCAAATCCTTCACAAGTTTCCGGCCGCACACACACAGAGAGACACACAGACAAACTTGATTTAAAGCTTTCGTGACTGCAGGAATTCATACTCTGTGGGTCTTTCGGTAAAGTCACGTACATAGACAAATAATAGATCAGGTGAAGACGATTGCCTGTGTTGCGATCGAAACGTCTTCAGGTGCAGACGATTGATGTGTTGCGATCGAAACGTCGTGATCTATTGAGGTTTACGTTCTATCTACGTGACTTTACCGAAAGACCCAAAGAGAATGACATTTATAGGTTTAAAAAATGCTACAGACCCCGCACGAGCTGAATCCGGCACTGCCCCATTGGTCAGCACAGTTTCGGGGTCTCCGGCCCAAAGATGCTGGAACATGCTGCCAAGGTCATGTTCGGAATTCATCACAGATTCTGAGCCAGTTCTGCAGTTCTGCAACAGACTCAAAAGCGGTGTTGTTGTTGTTGTTGTTTCAGAGAGCCTACTTCAATGTGTGATCAATGCGCATTCTTGATGGACTGGACTCATAAGGGTGCACAATTTTAAAAAAATTGAATTTACTTTATAGTCATGTGTAATTTCAACGACTGATTTGTGGCTTCCAACAGAGATGATCGATGCCCCATAGTTATCTGATCATGGATACAACTGGGCCTTGATTAGTGCATCGACACCAGTGAACACTTTGACAAGAGATCCTCTGGCAACATTAGTTACTTCGGTTGCTGCGATATTACGATATGTCGCAGGATATAACATGAACGATAATCGTGTTTTAACCTTTATGCAAAAAAATCTTCATGTGATTTACCGCTCAAGTAATTGAATTTACTGTTGCAAACGTTTAATTTCCTAACAATATTTATGAAAGAACAAACACGCGAATTAAAGTTGTATTACCCATTAAATTAATGCTTTGTACTACGTTTTCCGCAGTGATTATAATGTGACGTCATATTTGTTTTTAAATATTTGCGGTGTGTTGCTTAACTTACAGCATGTGCGTTTACAGGAGTCACAGATTGTAAAGTGCTAATGATTAGAAGACCTCTGGCAGTGTTATATTCAACGTGTAATAACAAAATGTATGAAATTATATTATAAACATTGCGAAATTATTAATAACATTGTGGTGTAATCGTGAAGGTGTAAATGGGTGATGGTTTATGCTCCGTGGCGAGACACTAGCAAGGTATTTTGGCTCAATTGTGGCAAATGTAATATTCAGCACCGGTGTGGCACGATGAAGCCACGCATCAGGACGGCGACACGGCCGAGTGCAAGGGTCGGAAATCGAATCAACAAGAACAGCCATTTTTTCTAATTCGGTAAATGTAATGTAATAAAATTTGAAGAGCCACAATGGACGTGGTGAATACGAGACGGTCCTGAATAAATAACTGGACTCCAATGGTAAACAGAACTTCCATGGTAAACTGGACTTCCATGATGAACTGGACTTCTATGGTCAGCAACGAAAATAGCAAGAAGAGCCATATTTGTTCGAAATTCAAGGGCCGCACTGCAGTCCTTTGAGAGCCGCAATGTTGCCGACCCCTAGCCCTAGTGGCAGCACATGGGCGCACAAAGTCACGGTTCGACCCAGTGGCGTAGTAGCTACATTATGAGCTCAGGAAGTACGTCGATCGGTCAGACGAGGCCCCAATTTTTGATTTGTCTCGCACAGTCACACCTAGGCTATACTGTACATCGTGGCTTCTCTTGCCTAACCCTCATCATTGTAAAAGTGTTGTGTTCTTTTCCACTGTTTTGCTGAAAACAAATGTCACGGTGGTTGTCAAGTGGGCCCTAACTCGTACATTTGGCCACCCCCTTGGCCAAGGAACGCCTGCCTCCACACTCGTTACGCTCATGTGTCGATCCCAGAGCGGCTGCCCTAACGACCATCGCACCAGGGCGTCTTCTTCTCTCGTACAGCTGATGTAGATGCAGAGCAACAACTACAATTTCACATTATTGGTTCTTTCGGTAAAGTCACCTGATGAAGGCCTAATGAAGAACGCTTGTGTTGCGATCGAAACATCGTGGGTTTTTTGCTTTTATGTTTAATTAAATGCATTTTTTTCCTTTTCTTTTTCTATCCACGTGACTTTACTGAAAGATCCAAGAATATTAATTCCTGCAGCCACAAAAATTTTAAGTTATAATTTCACATTCAGGTGATCAAGCCAGGTAACTGCATCTGGACGTATTGGCGGTACAAAGGTGTATGGAATAATAATAAAAAATCTAATGTTTACCACATTTTTTTCACTATATTTAGAAAATCTCGCGGGGTAGTGCGTCAAAATCAGTTCTCGTGATGTCGAAGCTGTCGGAAGACGAAAGTTATGAGCAGCTGGACACGAAGCTTCACAGTCTGTTGAAGTAAAGCACCCAGCCTGATGACGTTTGGCTCAGCGCTTTGAATCGTGCCCGAGACTTAGTCGGATGGCGAGGGTTAGGTTAGAGAAACATGAACAATTCTGCCTATATTGGAAAACCTTGTCCTTAAATAGAATTTGTTTTTTTCCCACGAGTTTTATATTTTGACCTCATAACCCTAACGATCCCTACTTGCCATACTATCATCGGCGGGTCAAGATGACGACGAAGATGATGCCCCAGTCCCACCTGAGGCTCGTAAGGCAACGCAAGAAAGCGGCTGCTGCTGCTCCAGGCGCTCGCCTTACAAGTCGACCCAAAAAATCGCATCCCTCGGACCCAAGCCAATGGTCAATATTGACCCTTTCTAAACAAGTCTCCGTATACTGAATACACCTTCGAATCGCGTCGAACTTGGCGACAGGGTCGATGAAAGGCTGATAAACAGGTTTACTGATTCAAATTTCCATTTCAAAGTGTTTTATGAGGACCGGTGTGTGACGTTGCACAGGCGTACCGCCAATTCGTCCGTTTGTCGATCGGGCATTGCGTCGTTATATGTTGCTACGTTATGTTCTGGATGACCACAGTCGCTAACACTACTGGAGAGTTTATTTTTTTATATTTCCCATTTGTGCATCAGGTATTCGCATCTTCCGCCATCGTTTGTGCAAGCGGGTGCAGTTTCGGTAGGGATGGACCATGAGCAACTTCGTGTAAGATATAAAAAAACCCCAGGTGATCTTCTGAGTTGGGTCTTTCACTAGGTGGCGTTTGTCTGACTTCGTGCGTGGTACTGGCCACCCACCACCCCTTCGTGTACCCTTCCGGCCTTCATCGGTGCTGGCTAACAGCACTTGCCCAAACAGTCCATTGCAGGCTATTTGGGGGATCTTTGTCTTTGTAGCTTGAACCTCACAGGCGCTACTCGCTAACAGCACTTGCCCCAGCAGTCTGTTGCAGCAGGCGGGAGGGGGAGGGGGGGTTGGGGGTGCGGTGACCTTTGGGGGGGGGGGGGGAAGGGGTCAAAGGTCGTCGTCGGCCTCATCCCTGCTCAAGATGGCGGACGAGCAGCAGCAGCAGCGGGGAGAGGAGGAGGCGGAGGAGACGACGCCGGCAGCAGCAGCAGCGGCGGCGGCGGCGCGAGCAGCCGCTCAGGCCAAAGCGCGGCCCAAGGTAGCGGCGGGAGAGAAGGCGGCGCGGGGTGAGGGAGATGCGGGGCAGGCGAAACGCGAAGTGGCCGTGGTCAATGAGGGGAGCGGTGGCGCAGCGGTTAGCGCTACGCTGCGACCCGGGTTCGATTTCCGCTCACGGTCAACACCACCAGTGACGATTATCTGAACCGGTCCCGGGCCTCCCCTAGGTCGACTCAACCTCAAATGAGTACCCGGTGCGGTGTGTAAACATCGCCACTGGGGGAGACAAAGGCGGTCGGGCGTGGTGTTGACCACCCACCCCCCTCGTGTAACTGTGCCTGTCTTCATAGGTGCTCGCTAACAGCACTTGGCCCCTACAGTCTGTGAAGGCTACACGGGGGGGGGGGGTCGTTGTGGTCAGTGAGGCTGGGCAGGCTCCTAGGCCTCGCAGTGGAGACGCAGCGAGACGTCTGCCCCCCGTGGTGGTGGTTGTGGTCTCCGTGTGGCTGAGCGGCTCGTGGGGGTCTCGGTGGTTCGCGAGTTGCACTCCACGAACCTGGCGGGGCAGAGTTCGGTTTCCGCTCACGGTGACGTTTATTTGGTCCGGTCTTGGGCCTCCTCCTAGGTCGACTCGGCCTCAAACGAGCACCCGGTGCGGTGTGTAAATAACGCCACTCGGGGAGACAAAGGCGGCCGGGCGTGGTGCTGGACACCCACCCCCTCGTGTGCCATGCCGGTCTTCATAGGTGCTCGCTAACAGCACTTGGCCCAACAGTCTGTTAAGGCTACACGGGGGATCTTTGTCTTTGGTGTGTGGGGAGCGGTGGTGCAGCGGTTAGCTGTGTTTACCTGGCCACCCGAGTTCGATTCCCGCTCACGGCCAACATCGGTGACAATTATCTGAACCGCTCCTGGGCCTCCCCTAGGTCGACTCAGCCCCAAATTAGTATCTGATGCGGTGTGTAAAACATTGCCAACTGGGGATACAAAGGCGGCCGGGCGTGGTGCTGGCCACCCCCTAGTGTGTCGTGCCGGCCTTCATAGGTGCTCGCTAACAGCACTTGTCCTAAAAAGTATGTTAAGGCTATTACGAGGGGGTGGGGGGGGTCTTTGTGTAGTGAGGGATTGCATAACAAGGGGATTATTCTGCATTGATTGTTGTGATTTGATACGTGAACCACCCGGCCAACTTGTTTAGAAGCTCACAAGCAACACACGTTAAGCGGGGGACCACGGTGGCGAGATTTAACGACCTCGCCTGATATACAGAAGGTCGTGGATTCGATCCCGACGCTGTATATTTGGAGTTCTCCCCGTAGTCGCGTGGATTTTTCTCTGGGTCCTCCGGGTTTCCCCTCCACATTTAGAAACATGCGTTTAGAGTACTTGGTTGCTATAAATTGACACGTAATACGCCACTTCGTTGAGCTATTATTTGTGGTCAGGTCGCTTCTAATAAAGAGCGATATAGCTCGGTGAGCCTTACCTGGTAAAATATAAAAATAGTGGCGTGCAGTCCGCAAGTGGCGCTTGTGCATTTTTCTGCCACCCCCTCTGCCCTTGTGCTGCGAGGTAACTCGCACACACCTCGTCGTCGTCGTCGTCGCACCACATCAGGATGAGCTGCGTCCCTGCCTCACTGCTTACGCGTGCCCGTGCGACGTGGCCCCTCTTGCCCTTCGTCATTTACGTTTTTAGAAGATCCAGTTCGCGGACCAACTGCAGGAGGTGAGCAAGCGGCCCATGAAGACGGGAGTGGCCGCGTACTCGCGCTCCATCTCGCAGTCTTCGGCGGACAGCTACAGCTCCGGTGACTTCCGCACAGCGAGACACACGAGTCGTACGGCAGCGAATGAATGGACGGGGAGTTTTGTGTTTAATGATGCCCACCACAAGCGTTCAGTTCACTGCGAGTGGAGCAAACAGCGGCACGTAGTATTTTACGATTTTACGATGATATACGTGTCCGTCTTCAGTTTTTCTTCAGATTCCGGAATCGGAATAAAATCGGAAGAATTGTTTTTTATTATTTTATCGGTATCGAGGCTCTCACAAGTCCATGCGGATGTGCGTGTGGCTCAGTTTGGCGCCAGCTATCATAGAATGCAATCGTGTCACTACAGTTCTCTGCGACGAGTACATTTCCTTTAAAAACAACAGCATTCCGAGATTCAGTGGTAAAAGGGACCCACCCTGCAACTTACAGACGTCTCGGAACAGGAAAAGGTGAATACACCCACTTGCAGTATTAACCAGGATGGCCTGCAGAGTTTGATCAGCGAACCTCTGCCGCCAACGGGTGACCACGGTTTACTGCAATCGGGCCCGGCTTCCTAAATAGGTGTCATGGCATCACAGGAACAACCAATCGGAATCAAGCCAGATATTGGCCATGATGTCATGATGCCTGTCTGAGAACCCAAGGTCATTAACACGGTTATTCTGACTTCTGAGGTTGCTTGGTGCAGTTTGAAGTAAACATCGCGTATCACACTGCAAAATATGGCTGTAATAATTGGTGTTTAACTTAGTGAATTTAAACAATATTTGGAATATTAAACGCTTCTACACGCGACAATTTAATTTGTTTGGCTGTGTTGGGTGGTGGAGTGTTTCGTGATAAAAAAAAATTGCCCAGATCGTTACGTGGCCTAACCCAAAATTCTATGACGTGTGTCAGGTAAAGCCATGATAATATTAACGATGAAACATCTGCGTTGACTGATTCATTGCTGGTTCCTGTATTTCCAGCGTCTTTCTCGGAGAGCGAGGATGAGGTTTCCCCGAGGGAGAAGCGACAGTCGAACTCCAAGAGCAGCTCAGACTTCTGTGTGAAGAACATCAAGCAAGCCGAGTTCGGCCGCAGAGAGATCGAGATTGCCGAGCAAGGTAGGGAATGATAATCGTAGCGAGAGCGTCAACGGTGATTTGTGCTTGATAGAGCCGCCCTCCTTCGTGCCGGGACGTTTCAGCGCTTTGCACGCAATAAAGGGCACCCCCACAATGGCAGCTGCCCCAGTGGGCACAAGGTAAACTCAGATCCTGGTCAGCAAGTGAGTATTTATCTGCCAGTAGGGGAGGGTGGAGGGGCGATGATTTGCCATGTGTAATTCTAATTGAGTAATTTGGAGGTAATTTTTCAACATTTGGCTGTTTTGGCAAATACCAGTTACATTGTGTAGATGCTTTTTAGCTATGGGAGAAACCTGGAGGAAAACCCAATGCAGAACAAAGAGAGGACATACAAATTCCACGCAAAAAGGCGGCCGAGTCAATGGCGGAGTGGTTAGCGCCTCTTGCTGCGTGCTGCAAGTGTTACCATGGTGCTGCCGCCATCCTGTCACCCAATGAAAATGAATGATGCACCATTGCAGAGATGCCGGCTCTGATGGCGCTGAGGAAGCGGGCCCAGGGGGACAAGCCCCTGGCTGGAGCCAAGGTGGTCGGCTGCACACACATCACGGCGCAGGCGGCGGTGAGCCCACACCCTCGCCGTCAAGTTTACGTGAACTACACGGCATCCGTGGGCCCCAGGTCGGCTGTGGTCGAGTCTTTGGTTTTGTAATATATTCCGATTTTGAGGGGCGCTGCCACAGTGGTGTCGAACAGTTAGCAACAGCAGGGGGTCGAACCAAAAAATGGTTAAACGGAGTAAACCAGTAATTGCATGAACCAAAATTGAAAACCAAACCTTCCATCAAATGTCCTGCTCTAGAATGAAACTCATACCCTACAAAAAGAGCATTTGGTTACTGGTTTTAATGAGTTAATTCATAAAAAAATTGTGCTTTATAGATTCACTGATTACTCTAGTGGGGACGTTTGCCATGGTCAGTTAGGTCACTCGGGAGCTACCACAGCAGTGCAACGGTCAGGACACCGGACTTGCAATCCAGAGTAGTTGGCTCAATTTAAATCTCCTGGCCGCAGGGCCGTCCATAGGCAGGTGTGGGCCCCTCGACCCTTTCAAACTAAACTGGAAGTATTACATCTGATACCGTGACGTCGAAGTGCGGGGCCCGGGGCGGTCGCCATGATTCACCGGACGGCTCCGTCTGACACGACCTGCCACCGGATGGCTCTGCCTGGCCATGGCAGTTGAAACAATGGGGGATAAGTTGATTCGCTCACCACCACCTCTGTCCACCCAGCAGTTTGCGTTTAGTATGGGTGTGCCCACTTTCAATACATCCGATCAACGTGGAAGATTACCGCAAGTCCCTTCATCAATGGCGTGAGCAAGCAAGGTGCCCCTTCCTCCCTCCAACCCAGCTTAAATATACGCTGCCAAGCCTGGTGGTGCCCATTCAGACGCTGTCTTTCCGACAGACCTGTTCTTCACCTGAGGATGGCTGCTTGCGTTGTGGCCGAAACGTCGTGAGAATGATTTTATTCTGTTTTCTTTTTATTATTTTATTATTTCCCTTCTACGTGACTTTACCGAAAGAACCAAGAAGATGAATCCCTGCAGTCATGAAAGCTTTAAATCGAAATTTACTTTTGTACTTAAAAGAGTTTGGTTTGTGATGCTAATGCCGTGTCATGTGCGATGCTAATGGCGTGTCGTGTGAGACACTAACACCGTGTGTCATGTGTATGCGCAGGTGCTGATAGAGACTCTGTGTGCCCTCGGGGCGCAGTGTCGCTGGGCAGCCTGCAACATCTTCTCCACGCACGATGAAGTGGCGGCTGCACTCGCCGAGTCTGGTGGGAATGCGAGCAAATCCCACTCTCCCATACTACTCAACTAAACTGTTAAACTATTTATATTTTACCAGGTAAGGCCCACATATAGCTCTTATTCAGAAACGACCTAGATATCACAAATGATAGCTCAACCAAGTGGCTTTGTGGGAATTTATAGCAGCCAAATACTCTAAACGCACGTTTCTACATATGGAGGGAAAAACCGGAGGACCCAGAGAAAATACACGCGACCAAATATACAAGCATCAGGGTTGGCATCGAGCCCATGGCCTCCTGTTTGCCAGGCGAGGTAGTTAACATCTCAATGCTACCGTGGCACCACGACACAGGGTGGCAGTGGTTGACACTCATGCCTCACAGCAAAAAGTGTCCTGGATTCCGCTCCCAGCTTGCATGCATTTCTGTTCTGCATCAGTTTCCTCCGGGTTCTCTGGTTCCTCCCGTAGATAAAATAAAAATATACCAATGCTGAAAAATTAGCCGCACAATTACTTGACTGGTGATACATGTCGCAGGACACTCCTCAAAGAAAGTCTTTCTGGGTGAATACACGTAAGAATAGCAGTAATACAAATTGGGAGAATTCCATCCTTGCTACAACATTAATCGATTCCTCTGTCCTCACCCCCACGGGCTCCATCATCATCACTCTGCTAGCAAAAGCCAGATGGCCTGCTCGCCAGTGGCTACTGTGAGCTTGGGTGTAATCTTATACTGTTCCCTTTCATCATCATTGTCAGCCATGGTCAATCCACTGCTGGATGAAGGCCTCTGCAAACCGCCGCCACCTCCCACGATGCAACAGTCCATCCAGCACCTGCACACTAACCGATTTCGTTGTTATTTTATCGACCGTCACCCCTGCGACTAGCTTATCCTGCCGGAGCCCATTTTGCTTCACAGTTTTTAATGATCTCATTAACCCGTGTACGTTTCTCTAATCCACGTGTTCCTTTTTTTGTGTGCGTGCATGTCTCCATGCTTCTTTTGTGTGCATGTTCGCTCTTTGCCCGAATCACCTTGCACCCTGTGGGCATTACCCTGCCATTAGGCGATGATGATTGCTGCTGTGGCGTTCTCATTTTGAATAACGTCAAGGGAACTTTACAGCCACAGTGAAGGGTGCGGCGTGTGTTAACACGTTTATTTGTATTATTATTATTTGATACAAAAACACTTGGTAAAAGAGTAGGTTGTACAAAGTCACTCCCCATAAAAAAGTATAGAAATATCAGACGAGGTTTTTTTTAGGTTGATTGATATCACTTGTTCTGACGTGTTTATGAACAAAACATAAACTTTTTGGAATATTGTACCGTAACAATCTACAAATGTTTATTTTTATACAACACAAAGACAACCTTAATGGCATTGGCATGGCAACTTATTATTTTAAAAGGAAGGGAGTGGGGGAACAGAGTTGGGTACCAGAGTGACTCGACATGTTCTTCTCTCGCAGGCTTCTCGGTGTTTGCTTGGAAGGGAGAGGCGGAGGATGACTTCTGGTGGTGTATCGACCGCTGCATTAACGTCGAGGGCTGGCAACCGAACATGGTCTCCAACACACCACACCCACTCCACGACACATACACCCCACACAGAAAGACAAAATAAAGACAAAGATCCCTCCATGGTCGATCAAAACGAGTAACACTTTGTAAGGAAGATCAATGGTAGCTGTCCTATGGGCAGACTTGCCTCTGCAATAGAAATGTGCAATTTTCACCGCTGGCTGAGGGCTGTGGACAGGAGATGAGTTCCGCCTTCAAATGCTCATTTGAGCAGGAACTCGCCAACTTTTTGCGTATTTTACCGCGCGGTGACGGTGAGATGGCGACGCCTGTGCCGACAGATCCTGGATGACGGCGGGGACCTCACCCACTGGATGTACAAGCAGTACCCGTCAATGTTCCGCACCGTGCGGGGCATCGTGGAGGAGAGTGTCACGGGCGTGCACAGGTGCTTCATGCACAACAACAACAACCGTCATTCGCCACTAAGTGGCGGTGATGTGAACACGGCGCTTGTGCCAGGCTATTTGCACTTTCAGGCAACGTTAAGTGTCGAATGCCCGCTGGCAGGGCTTCACGGGACAGACCCAGGTGCCATGGGTTGAATGACTGAGATGACTGGACAATGCACCACCTGTGCCCCCTACTGTGCTGTGTTTTAGCCGCGTGGCTCAGTGGTAGAACGAGTGGCTCGCAATCGGAAGGTTGCGATATATAATCCTGTTTGGGGGCTGACTCATTCCATCATCCCTGCATGTTAGGTAAAAACGAGTACCACTTTGTGAGGAAGATCAATGGTGGCCGTCCTATTGGCAGACTTCCCTCTGCAATTTTCTCCACCGGCTGAGAGCCACCTGCCTAAAACATAGCACAGATCATCACCATCATGACTGCTACGCTTGTTTTATTCAGGAAAGCCTCGCCCAAGCCTCGAGACTCAATTTCAGGAGGGTCCTCTTAAGTTTTTATCTGGTAGGGGACGATGATTGCTCTGTGTTTCTCTTAGTATTTTTTTCTGCCTAGGGCCCCTTCCCCCTAATTGCAGTTTGTCCCATTGCCACACAAGGTGACTGCAGCAACCTGTAATTGGGCTTTATTCTGCCAGTGAAGAGCGATGATCGCTCTTCTCTGTGTCATCCCAATTGAGTAATTTGCAGTATAATTCTTCAAATTTGGCAATTTTGGACCTTGACGCTGGGGCACAACAGCCTACTCTTATTCGCATGACGTCACAGGATTGTTAACGTCCACTGCGAGTGCAGTGGACGGCAGGTGCGTTATGGTTTGGCTAGATATTGGAGATTGCTGCGCTTCTACTGTGCAGCGGCTGCGAGATCTGGCGTTGGGTAGAAAGCGTCGGTAGCCAGGGAGATGTGGTGGCGTCAGCGTCTTCGTGCACGATGACAACTTGTTCCTAAATGTTAACCGTAGTAGCCTTCCGCATTCAAACCACAAATTTCTGCTACAGGCTGGTGAAAGCACTACCACTGGACCACGTTGCCGCTCCATAGAACAACGTTGCCCCTTCAAGTTCATGTATTAGGTATAGCCCTGTGAGCCATTCGGCTCTTGAATCGGGTGCAACCACAACAAACAAAAAACAAAAACATGAACAAAAAAACATCTTAAAGTGAATATGTGACTGAGTGCAAACAGAAAATCCCAGAAAAGACAGCAAAATGTTGCAGAAAAAAACACCGTACACCAACGCTGTGTGCAAAAATCCCAGTTGGATGCAAGTCAAACAACCAACAACATCCACAAGACAACTTAGATTAAGGCCATCAGTCTAACTCTGTACTACAACAAACAAACATGGCTAAACCAATATATTTTTTGAAATCACCAAAATAAAGCCATGAAACCAATGAAACAGTGATCATAGGAACTGTGATGGAATTTTCACAATAAATGGCATAAACAACATGTACTACCAAAACCCTGCAGCCATAGCTGGCTGCATGAGTCACTCCACAACGTCATCTTGAACTTGGCTGAATGCTACCGTGGCATTGCACGCGATTGTTGAATGCTCCTTCTGGTGGTTGCCGTGTGTTTGTGTGCAGGCTGTACCAGCTGTCCAAGGCCGGCAAGCTGTGCGTGCCAGCTGTCAATGTTAATGATTCGGTCACCAAGCAGAAGTTTGATAACCTGTACAGCTGCCGGGAGTCCATTCTTGATGGGTGCGTAGGGCCTCCGTGCGCAACTCACACTGATAAATGTTAACGCGTGTTGTGCGGTCTATATATTTGTATTTATATATATCTCTAACCTGGAAAATATCGCTTGAGAATGAACGGCTCGTTGGCAAGGGTGTCCAGGGTGTCCAGGGTGTCAAGGGATGCATACATAGCAAATACGTAATGACAAATATGGTAAATACAGTAAGGCCTCGTTCTTTAAAAACTGACAATAGTAGAATTCGCGATTGTAGATATGGTATGTTTATATAGGAAAAAGGGGGTTAGATTCTCGTGTCTGACAACATACAAGAGAAAATTTCAATGTTTCAACATATTCATCCTTTACTCTACATATAAATAGCATCTATATACTTAATTAAATTGTACAATGATACAAATAGATAATAACACAAATAATACAACAATATGATACATAATTTACCTCAACACTTGAACGTTAACGATACACCAACTAGGCGTCCGTATGGCACCTCAACGAGTGGACGGCTAGATGCACAAGGCAATGCGTGTAATGCACATTAAAAGGTGCAAAACCTGAACCAGTATACAGTAAAACCTTGGATTGCAAGCATAATTCGTTCCAGGAAACGTGTTTGTAATCCAAAGCACTCGTATATCAGTTGTGATCACGTGACGCTCGGCAGACAAAGCGTATACACGCACTACTCGTATTGCAAGACCTCGCTCGTTTATCAAATTAATATTTATTTAAAAAATTTGCTCGTCTTGCAAAACACTCGCAGACCAAGTTACTCACAATCCAAGGTTTGTTTACTGTACAAATATGAAATTGTGAATAATCGAATTTCGTGAAAACTTCCACAAATGAAAAGGTTTTACTGCACGTAAATATCCATACACATACATAGCAAACGTCAAAGACATACACCTAAAGAATACACGTATACTTAAGTATGTTGAACTTCTTTCGCACCGTACGTAGCCAACCGTGGTAACAGACTGTAGGGGCAAGTGCTGCTCACGAGCACCTAATGAAGGCTGGCACAGCACAAGAGGGTTGGGTGGCCAGCACCACACCCTCCACCTTTGTCTCCCTCGTGGCGATGTTTACACACCGAACCAGGCACACTTAAGGCTGAGTCGACCCAGGGGAGGTCCGGGACCAGTTCAGATAATCGTCACGTGGTGTTGACCGTGATTGGGAATCAAACGCAAACCGCTACACTACTGTTCCCCATAGAAAGACAAAGACACATCAACATATAAACATGCACACTCATCCGTACATATGTAGTGTGGGTTTCACGATGGCGGAGACGCAGGTTTGGAGGCAACACGTTTATTAACACAAAGCTACGATACAGCACGTACCGAACCCTTAACACTCGAAGGGGTTACGGCCCCTTCACCCGCTGCCTAAGGAGGTACTGCCTGCACACTGACGTGCCCCACTACTGGGGCCACGGTCTCTGGGTCCTCCGGCTAGAGGTGACCTAGGGGAGGCTGTTCTGACCCAACCCATCCAAGGTACAGGTTCCGACCACTGGCCTGCTCGGGCCAGGCCCTTACAAGGACGGCGGGTCAGCTGAGTCCCAGGGTCCGAGCTAGCCGGGCTTCAGTCTTCAACTGGCCCCGGACCCGTCCAGAGGTCCGGCTTTTATACACCTCCCAGGCCCTGGCCACGCCTCCTTCCCAGAGAGTTCCGGGGGGGGGGGGGAGGGGTCGCGGGGGAACCTAGAACACCCCACAGCCTCCCCCCTGCTTTGGGGCTGGGGAATCTAGCGACCTTTATGTCGGTCCAAGTTACTGCCCCTGGTGGGCCCTGTCTGCTACTGCAGGTAAGTACACGTAGCCCCTTTACAGCGCGCTACACATATACCTAGAAATCGAAAGCAGGCCACGTATATAACAAGGGTGCCTAACAGTTGCTACTCATTGCAATAATTAACAGGCATGGAAGCGTGCGCTATGTCTTCCATCATAATTATATGCTTATGACTTTACACATACGCAGTGGCGTCACTAGGGGGGTGTGGGGGGTGCGGACCGTACTGGGTGACACCATCAGAGGGAGTAACACCACAATGACTGTCTATAACATTTTTGTGCAGTGTTTCAGCAGAAATTTATTATTTTTTATTAAAAATATCCCTGTAGTTATAACAACAACAATTTTCGTAAGCCCAGCTTACATGTACTGTATCAATATATCTACAAGGCTAAAACTCTGCTAATTTACTTTTTTAACCTTCTAATGCGCTCCGGTCAGAGCTGTCATTATTGCCCAATTACAATGATGCTTCGAATCATGTGGTTTCGTCTGCATGCGCTACAAGCACGCGCTGTTGTTATCATCGCTGCTGGTCTCTACTTTGTGTGAAAATCCCATCCGGTAATATTTTTTTTATGTCGCCCACCCTCGTGTCTTGTGCAGTCTCAAACGGACTACAGACATTATGTTTGGCAGTAAGCAGGTGGTGGTGTGCGGATATGGAGAGGTGAGCTCTTGTGTCTGATACAAACTTATCTGGGGTCTAGCACCCAGTTCCTACCGAAACTGCACTCAATAGAATTCAGAGTAGAACAGCAGTCAGGGTGAAGGATGATCCAACACTCATTGATTCACTCCCGTCGCTCGCTCACCGGTGGTCAGTCACCTCCGTGTCACTCTTCTGCAAATGCAATTGGCGTGGTTACTGTTCTCATGAACTTCACTCGTTGATTCGTGCACCCGTGTTGAGGACTCGGTCTGCCACACACCGACCGCTTCATCTCATCCACACTTGTGTTCAACCAACACTGCAGGGCATAACAACTCGCTCAACCACTTACTCGCTGATCCACTTAGCCAGTCAATGATCTATGCTCCCACTAACTCAACACACCGTGGGTCTCGACACTTCCCTTTTTGATTATTCCCTCGCATCGTCTCTTTTCCCCCAAGTTGTTGCAATAACTCTGGCTCCATTCAAGAAACGTGTTAACTCTAATCACAACTTTGATTGTGCTGTTTGTTGCCGGCCGCTTGATGTTTTAGGGCTTTGGGGCTGTGTTCAGAAAAATTGTGTTTAAGAAAAAATATATCTAAATGTGAGTGTTGTGGCCCAGTGCAGGCTGTTGAGCCCCCATTTTGCAAATGTTATTCGCTGCTTATTGTGTGATTCACCCAAAGGTCCCATAATGGCAAACTTTGTATTGACTTCAATATTCCATGCCTCATCAGCAGTCGCGCAGTCAATCGGTTTGATTTCTGCTCGCAGCCAACGTCGGTGACGAATATCTGAATCATTCCGTGGTTTACCCAGGCTGATTCACCTTTAAATAAGTACCAGTGCGGTGTGTAATGAACATCAGTGCGCATGGTGTTGGCCACTCCATGCCTGGTTCGCCTTCGGAGGTGCCCGCTGACAGCGCTTGGTCTTGTGGCATGCAGGTGGGCAAGGGCTGCTGCTCTGCACTGAAAGCGCTGGGTGCCGTGGTTTACGTCACGGAGATGGATCCAATATGTGCCCTGCAGGCCTGGTAAACATGTCGAGTGGTTGGGTCCTCTGCACCGATACATTTACAAAGTGGCAGTGCTTTTTCAAAAACATTACTATAATAATGATAATTGTTTTTTTACCCTTTTATCTGGCAACAAAACTGACACCTTTTTATACAAGGAGTCATGTTTGCATTGACCACAATACCTGAGGTCGGAATGCAAACAAAAAACACAACTCTTATAATGTATGCACTGTCCTTGAAATTGGTTGGTCCACACCCGAGACAGCTTTTCTTAGAGCCTAGTCTCACATTTGTGCATACATTATCAGAGTTGTGTTTTTTGTTTGCATTCCGACTGCAGGTATTGTGGTCAATGCAAACATGACTCCTTGTAAAAAAAAGGTGTCAGTTTTGTTGCCAGATAAAAGGGTAAAATTTTTTTTATCATATTTTGCTACTGGCAAAGGAGGTTCCAATGGTGTAAAAACATTACTGTGCTCTAGTTAATGCTGGCTGCGAGGGCTATGCGTTGAATCACTTCACGTGGTCAACAAAATACACCGACAGCACACGTTTGTGTCTCCATATAGACAAGAATACTGCGTCGCTCAGCTGGAGAGCGAGCGGAAGGTTACGAGTTCAGATCCTGATTGGGGTCCACTCAGCCCATCATCTCTGAGTCAATAAAATTAGTACCACTTTGTGGGAAAGATCGACAGTAGTTGTTCTTTGGATGGACTCGCCACCGTCCTAGGAATGTGTCATTTCTGTCTGCAGGGCCCTAAACAGGAGATGAGCAAAAATGCCTCTGCTCAATTTAGTAGGAAATCACTGACTATATAAGACTCGTTTTTATCTCATCCAAACTGTTCAACCAACACACTTCAGGTTACAACAGCACACCTACTCACCCACTCACTGTCCCACTCACCAACGTACTCAACCACTCAGTCAGCCACTCACTCACCCACTCACTCACCCTCACATTCCACCCACTCACCCAACCAGTCACCACACTGCAGGTCACAACACTTTTCTTTCTGCTTCTTCCTCGCACTGCTACACTTTGTAATTCCCTCCCATCGTCTCTTCCCAAAGCTCTTATTAGTACCCTTGCTCAATTCAAAAAACCTTTTCTTACTTCGATAGTGCTGTTTGTGGCTGACTGTTTGACATACTGGGCCTTAGAGCCTTTGCTCACCAACTGTTTTAAAGGACGAAATGAAAATAATGAAAGGCCACATGTTGTGCGTTGTGGGAATGCAGCTTAGAGGGCTACCGGATTGTGAAACTCGCGGAGATCGTGCGTCAAGCAGACATCATCATCACCTGCACAGGTGAGCTGCGTTGGGCCCTGCGGCACACGCCGCCACCGCGAGGGCCCCCGTTCCGAACTCACTCGCGCCGTTCACAGGCAACAAGAACGTGGTGACACGCGAGCACCTGGACCGGCTGAAGAACGGCTGCATCGTGTGCAACATGGGCCACTCCAACACGGAGATCGACGTGGTGAGCGCGAGCTGGCACACGCTGGCACGCAAACACTGACAGACGCTCGCTTGCTCGCTGATATGCGCTGGCGCACACTAACACACAATCGCTTGCTGTGACACGCTAACTCATGCCGACACGCTGACACGCGCTCGCTCCTGCTGACACGCTGACACACGCTCCCCCGCTAACACACACGCTGACACACGCTGACATGCTCACACGCTGACACAGACACACCGTCATGCACCGACACGCTGACACATGCTCGCTAACACACACTGACACCCTGACATGCTCACGCGCTGACAGACACGCTGACACACAGGCACTGACACGCAATGACACGCACGCTGGAGCACGCTCGCTGAAACATGCTGACACATACAGGAATGCTTGTTTACACAGGCTGACACACACTGACACACACACACTCTCTTGCCGATGTATGCGTCTGTGTGTGTGCGTGCGTCTGAGCAGGCGAGCCTGCGCAGTCCTGATCTCACGTGGGAGCGAGTGCGAACTCACGTGGACCATGTGACTTGGCCCGATGGAAAGCGCCTCGTTCTGCTGGCCGAGGTACGGCCATGATCAATCCACTGCTGGATGAAGGCCTCCCCAAGCTGTGACCACCTCTCACGATCATCTTTATCATCCGTGGCCGATGCGCACGCCATTTAGCTCCTGGACACGAGTTGTTTTCATCGCTCCATCTGCGTGGGGGACATCCTCTTCGGTGCGTGCTCTCATTTGGCCGCCATTCCGTAATTAGTCGTCTTGCCGTGACGTGGCCGGCCCAAGTCCCCTTCGTGTTATTAAGCCATGATGTTTATAACTTGTGCATTTTCTCCGATCCGTATGTTCATCCTGTGTCTCGGTGTCATTCCCAGCATGCGTCACTCTTTGCTTTTTTTGCGCACTTTTCATCTTTTGTGTCATTGTACTTGTCAGTCTGCACGTGCCTCATCCAGTCACCATAGTGGGTCATACACACTCGTTAAAAATGTCTTGGGCACATTGCCACGTTTCGTTATCACGTTCAACTTCATATTTTATTCCAATCCGCTCTCACACACATTTTGCGTCATCATCATCAACCTGGTCCATCTTTAATTAAAAAATCCCATCAGATAAATAATGACACAAGGTATAGGACGATAAAATATTACACACAACCACATCAGTGACACGGCCCAGCAGGCTGCCTAAGAAGATGTGAGTGGGTGAGCGAATGGCTGAGTGAGTTGGTGAGTGGGACAGTGAGTAAATGAGTAGGTGTGTTGTTGTGACCTCCAGTGTGGTGGTTGAACAGTTTTGATGCAGAGGTTCGTGGGTGTTCAAATCCAGAGGTTTCCCTGGTTAATACTGCAGTGTATGAACCATACAATACCACGTGCCATCAGTTTCACTCACAGTGGCTGATAACTAGTCACAGTGGCTGACGTCATTTGAAAGAGTTGGAAATTGTGCAGGTGCCACGGTCCAAATTTTACACACCGCAAATTGCTCAATTGGGAAACACGCAGAGCAATAAATCATCGGCCCCTACTGCGAACACTTTGCAGGATCCACGTGAAGAAGAGTCTTGAGACTCGGTGAGGATTTTCTGGCTCTTGAGACCCTCAGGGCAACAAGATCCAACAAGGGACTTGATGGTCTGTGTCCTGCGTTTCGACATAATCTGGGACTATATGGACATTAATTCTAGATTTGAAGCTTTCGTGACTGCAAGGATTCATACTCTTAGGTTTTTTCGGTAAAGTCACGTTGGTAAAAATAAATAATAAAAATGATAGAAATGATAATAGAAATAAAATAATGAATCACGACGTTTCGGAGGCAACACAAGTCTCCGTCATCAAGTGGGAACGTCACAGCTAAATTTACTGTATCAAGTTTACTGTATCAAGTAAATTTAGCTGTGACGGTCCCACCTGATGACGGAGACTTGTGTTGCCTCCAAAACGTCGTGATTTATTATTTTATTTCTATTGTCATTTCTATCATTTTTATAATTTATTTTTAACTACGTGACTTTACCGAAAAACCTAAGAGTACTATATGGACAGGCAAACTCCCGAAAGAATGTAAGCAGGTCAAAGTCATCACCATTTTTCTGGCCCTCCACCTCCAAGCTGATGGAACGTGTCATGTTTGCCAGACTTTACTCATTATCGACCCCCAAAAAAAAAAATCGGTTTTCAAACTAGGCTTAGCTGCTGCAAAACAGACCTTTGCCTTCACCACCCTCATAGAGGCTGGTTTCCAGCATCAACAGAAAATCGGCACAGCAATGATTGACCCCTGTGGTGCTGCCTATGACACTGTTTGGCATCGTTGCTTGCTGCTGAAGTTGGCCAAAATCATCGGATGTCGTTCTTCTTGTTCACCTAATCGACATGATGCTCAGTAACCGTACTTTCAGGGTGGACCTCGCTCATGTCTCTGCGTATCATTGCTTTCTTTTTTATTTTGCTCTCTGCATTTGCTCCTTTGCTGGTGATTTATTTATTTTTTTCTTAAGCAATTCCTTTGCTTTTTTTCTGTTTTTGCTGAACGTTTTTAGGGCCGTCTTCTGAACCGTAGCAGCTCGAGTGTGCCCTCGTTTGTGCTGTCCATCACAGCCACCACACAGGTGAACTGACACGCAGTGCGCGTCGGTGCTTGGTAGTGCAACTCGCCACTCGCCATACCACTCACACTATCGATACCAGTCACTGACCACGAGTGATACCACTCGTACAATGCCAGACGCACTCAGCACTCACTCTCATGATACCACTCACACTCACGATACCACTCACACGATGCCACTCAGTCACCGCTCACGGTATCACTCGTACTCACCCTCGATAGCACTCGCCACTCACGACACTATTCACCACTCTCACAATACCACTCACACAATATCACTCACACTTATACCATTGACACTCACGATACCACTCACACTCATGATACCACTCACACAATGCCACTCAATCACCGCTCACGGTATCACTCACCCTCGATACCACTCGCCACTCACGACACTATTCACCACTCTCACAATACCACTCACACAATATCACTCACACTTATTATACCATTGACACTCATGATACTACTCACGATGCCACTCGCACGACTCGCACATACTCTCCACTCGGACACACTTGCCAACCACGCAAACACAGCCGCAGACTCCCACTCGCACACACCAACACACTCACGTCAGATGTGTGCTGATTGTACCAGAAGTCATGCTCTTGCTCTGGAAAGTGTGCGTGTGCATATGCTAAACGTAAAAAACGTGTGATGACATGAGATCCCAATACTTGCATGTGTGCATGCGTGCTTGTGTGTGCACGCGTGTGTGTAATGGTTAACGCGCTGCGCGAATAACCCGGCGACCCAAGTTCTATTCCCGCTCACTGCCAACACCAGTGACGATTATCTGAACTGGTCCTGGGCCTCCCCTAGGTCGACTCAGCCTCAAATGAGTACCTGATGTGGTGTGTAAACATTGCTACTTGGGAGACAAAGGTGGTCGGGCATGGCGCTGGCCACCCACGCCCTCGTGTGCCATGCTGGTCTTCATCGGTGCTCCCTAACAGCACTTGCCCCAACGGTCTGTTCTCTGCGCGTGTGTGTGACAGGCGCTGGCTCTAATTGAACTGTACAATGCTCCAGACGGACGCTACAAACAGGATGTGTATTTACTGCCGAAGAAGATGGGTGAGACATTCACTTCATCCCTGCTGTGCATTCTTTTTCACTCTTTGACATTTGCAGCGTTCATAATACCGTTAGGTTTGTTACGCGCTGCACAGCCGTTCGTACAGTGGCCGTTGTCACAGTTCTACTTCGTCGCAAATGAACTCCAGAACTCCCATTAGACCAGCACCTACAGGACACGAGTGAGGGAAGCTGACAAAGAGCTTCAGAATCCCAAAGACGGTTCAAAAACGTTATGATCTCTGGGAGGATCAGAGCAAAGTGCTCAAGGCTCGCCCATCGCATTATGCCCCAAAGGATGCCGTTACTTGCGTACTCTGTTCTACAAAATATTGTATGCACAGAAACGCACAAGTGTTGTTCGTGAGCACATAAGAGGGCCGGTCTGGCACACCTATGATGGGGTGGGTGGCCAGCACCATGCCCAGCCACCTTTGTTTCCCGACTGGCGATGTTTACACATTGTTACATATTGCACCAGGTGCTCATATATGGCTGAGTCGACCGAGGGGGAGGCCCAAGACTGCTTCACATATTTGCTACCGATGTTGGCCATGAGCGGTGATTGAACTCTGTTGCCGGGGCACCGCATTGTGAACAAAAGACAGCTCTCTGTGTCGTCCTAGACATTAATGTTATTTAATGTTTTTTAGCCAGGAAAGCCTCACTGAGTCTCAACACTTTTTTTCAGGAGGGTGCTGCTAAATTTTCGTAGTAGGAGGCAATGATTGCTATGCTCATCCCAATGAAGTCATTTGCAGGTAATTTTTTTTTCAAATCCAGAGCGGCCTGCCGAATTTGCACCGCGAACCTCTGCAGCAATCCCCAAGCACGCTTCCACCGTTCCACATTAGTCCCCAATATATTTCCAGACATTGCAATATGTGGCCTGATCAAGTGAAGGGGAAATCGGTCTCTATTGGAAGCACGTTATTGTTGGTGCTTCAACAGACTGTGTGTATCACCTGTGTCCGTGTCACAGACGAGTACGTGGCGAGTCTGCACCTGCCAACATTTGATGCTCATCTCACCGAGCTCACAGACGACCAAGCAAAGTATCTGGGGATGAGCAAGAATGGTCCTTTCAAGCCAAACTATTACAGGTGGGCAGCACATGCACGTGCCATAGATCGGCCCGTATGGCCTTAACAGACTGTAGGGGTTAGTGCTGTTAGCGAGCAGCACCTATGAGGGCCAGTACAGTGCACGAGGGGGTAGGTGTCCCAAGTGGCAATGTTTACACACCGCACCAGGCTCTAATTTGAGGCTGAGTAGACCTAGGGGAGGCCCAGGACCGGTCGAGATAATCGTCGCCGATATTGGGCACGAGCAGAATTAAACTCGGGTTGCCGGGTTCGTAGCGCAACGCGCTAATCGCTACACTACCACTCCCCACTACTAAGGATCCACGGGCCTCACACACACGCAGTCGCTGGAGTGAAATAGATGTTTTATCCTTGATCCCGACCAGGTGGATCATAATCGAAAGGTTGCCAGTTCATATCCTGGGTGGGGGGGGGGGGGTTGACTCAGACCATCATCATTCTGGGATTGTAAATTGAGTACCACTTTGCCAAGAAGATCAACGGTGATTGTGTCCTGTGGATCGACTTGCCCCCATCATAGGAATGTGTCAATTCCACGGTCACTTGGCCCAGGGCCGTAAACATGAGCATCACTCACTTTGGCTGCTGACGTTTGATGCCAGCCTTGTCCATGTGACTGACGCAATGTTAGGCCTAATGTCTGTATGTACGTTTAACTTCTTTTATACATAGCCAACCGTACTAATCGGAGGTGCGGGCACATTGGATGCAGATAGATGCATTGGATGCAGATGTTGGTCAGCGTCGTTTATTTCACAAGGAGACATATTAAACCCTAATTTAAACACTTATAACAGCATTGCCACCACTGCTCACGTTGAACCAATGCTCCTAAGTAATGCACTCCCAGAATGCTATGCGTATGATCGGTCTGTCTACCTGGCGGGACAGACGATTGGAGCAGGAGGATGTCGCCTGCGAAGTGATTTTGTTACATTCTCCACAGAGATGCTGGTGATCTCTTTGGGTCACTTGGAAGGACGTTATTAACCAGTTTAAGTCATAACTGGCTGTGATGTTTCCATCCTACCTGCCGATGTTAGTAGTTATTTTCGACTCTCTGGTGTTACATTAACAGGTTAGATGTCTCACTAACAGGTTAAATGTCTCACACTAACACAGCCACCGTTGCTGGTTTTCCTCGATGTGGCGGTGGCGCTACGATCTAACATTAACATGCTAATCTCTCACAATACAACGGCCACCTCTGCAGCTTCGTAGTGGAGGTAGCTCTCCGATATACCCAATCTGAAATTTACATGCAAATTTCATCACTAGCCCCGCCCACTTCGCTTATGACCCTTGGGCCACACCCATCTCAAACCTTGATAACATCCTGCCTCAGCAGCTCTCCCGCTATTCTTTCACCTGATGACGATTGCTTGTGTTGCGATCGAAACGTCGTGATATTTGTATGATTTTTTCTGTCTACGTGGCTTTACCGAAAGACCCAATTAATATGAATTCCTGCAGTCACGAAAGCTTTAAGTCAAGATATCAAATATTGGTTACCAACATCACATTTTCAACCTAGGAGTTGTTACAAAGGACATTTTACAAATACAGCCATCTTCTTCCTACGTGCCGAGGAATGGAACGTGGCCGAGAGAACGTCCACTGAGGTTCGTGTAACAGGTGCTGGGTGGATTGTTGGGTTGCCAGGTCGCGAGAGCTGGCAGCCTCCCCAAGGTGAGGCTTTCATCCAGCAGTGGATAGATCGTGGCTGACGATGACGATGATGGGAAGAGTGACGTGTGTGTTGTCGTCTCTAGATATTGACGCAGACCAAGAGGTGGAGCTGACCCCAGGCTGGGCAGTGGAGGCGACCTCCACGGCACGGTGTGCTGCATCGGCGACCGTAATCATGAGCCCCCTGGTGGTGGTTATAATCATTCAGCTTCGTGTAGCCACCTTCCTGCAGCCGCGGCCCCCCCGGGGCACCACTGACGTCCACTGTGCTAGTACAATAGAGAGGTTTGTGTTCATGTTTTTTTATTTGCCAGGACAGAGGGCGTGTGTGTGTGTGGAACACGATTGAATATGTGTTGAATGAAAACCCTTTCATCTTTACTGCCAGGACAAAGTGGGTGGCCCGGATATCACCAGACACATTTGAACCAAGTTAAATGATATTGTTATTATCTCAACACTCATTCATGGAGTTGTTGAAACAACCAAATATAGGATCACAGAGCTTGGGCAATTGTCAATTCTGGCTGCCTTCCTGCTCGTCTGGGGTTTCCCCACGGTGGCGTGACGCGGTGTGCACCCGTAACGACGCTCGATACAAATACAGCAATTATCATTCCTATTCTCACTAAAACAGCGACATTTCATCACATTTTCAGGGACTATTACGAATATGCAGAAATGCCTCGGGGTGGGAAAAATATTTTATCATCGAATGTTTTCAGAAAGTGAAAACGCCTGACGCGCGCGTTGACGATTCCGCGGTTAGATGTAGCACAGCGACGTGCGCGTGTTGTCGTAGAGAGTAGTGTCGCCTTAGCGTGCGTCTCCGCTTCAGTGCTAGCGCTGTGTTTCGCATTGAGAAGCGAATCGACTCTTCTGTCAATGCAAGCTGAGGGCAAATCAAGTTGCCCTTCTCCCCTACCAACGTTACACAAGGTGCAATTTGTCACATTTCCAGTGTGTACGTATGTAGAACTTCTCTCGCACCATACGTAGGCAACCGTGGTAACCGGAGGTGCGGGGAAAGGACAACAAACTAAACATGTACGTGTGTTGAACTTCTTTCGCACCGTACGTAGACAAACGTGCTAATCAGAGGTGCGGGGAAGGACAACAAACTAAACACGTATGTATGTTGAAGCTTCGCACCTTCCGTAGCCAACCGTGCTCATCGGAGGGAGGCCTTTGTGCAATAATAGATTGACACATAACTGATAGCAACAATATTAATTATGACACACATAGCAGGTGAATTATATTGCCTTACTGTGGGATACGCACTTTGAACTAATTATACTGATGCATATTAGCTTGGGAAGCCTCGCAGGGTCTCAAGACACAATTTCCGCAGGATCTTGCTACATTGGGATGTTCGGTTAATTCCAGCAACGAGAGTTTGGCTTCTTGCGAGAGGTAACCGGAGAACGTGGAGAAAAGGCAGCACAGAGGAGTGGGTCACACTTAAAGCTCCACCCAGATGGATTCAATAATCCATTGCTGTACTGCCATCTTCTGGCCAGCCCCTACACTACAGCACCTGCTAGTCCCAAGCACCCTCGCGCTCGACCACGATCCAGGCTATCGGCCCGGCTGCTGGCGGCAATGTCCAATCGCTGAGGGCAGCGGTCTACGCGCACCCTCCCATCACATCACCCCCCATCTCCCTACCCCATCACATCAACCCCTATCTCCCCATCACCACCCCACTATCACCTCCCACCCCCCTCCCATCAAATCGCACCTTGCACGTTGGTTAGCCGCAGGCTGGAATTGCAATCCAGAGGTCGCCATTTCCATGCAGTCTCGCGGTGCGACAGGTGAAACAACGTGGCAAGTTTCTCTTATCCCTCCCACGGCCGTTTCAATCTGGCCAGCGGTATAAATAGGTGCACCACAGTCGATTTTGGCAGGTCGCGTGTGTTGGGGTAAATTGTGGGCACGCCCACCTCTTCCAAACACGTCTGGTCGGCGTGGACAAGCAGATCAATACCGCTTGAGAATTGCCTCGAGTGGAGGCCATTCTGGCAAGCGGCGGCGTGAGCGAGCAATTGCGCGCAACTCTCCCCCGTCAGCCAGTACCCAGCTGTAGCCTTGTCCGTGCATGAGGGTCCTGCGTGAGTCCACTGTTCGCCATCTGTTGTGCGCGCACACGAGGGGATCGCCGCCACATCCCCAACATTACCACAGCCCCCTGGCTGCAGCTCCGCACGATCCATAGTGGATTTAAATCGCCACTGTTTAACGCGCGTAAACTGCCGGATGCAGTGTAATAATTACAGCGTATCAATTGTGACACTTTGTTTACCCAGGAAAGCCTCACTGAGGCCCCGAGACTTCCTCAGGAGGGTCCTGTCGTGTTTTCTGAGTGTCGGGCAAAGTCGCGCCGTATTTCCCAGTTGAGTCGGTTTCAGAGTCATTTCTCATATTTGGGCCATGCTTCTGGGCGCCCCTGACACGGACGTGCTCCAACACTGAAGCGTGAAAACCCAGGTCTAGTCCTCGATTCCTGGGATGAAAGTGGAGCCCCCTTTCAAGCATCCACGTGTGCAGAGGCAGCAATCGGCAGCGCTTTGGTAACGCGTTATCCGCCGGTTTGCTTCCAGTGCCAAATAACATTCACATTCTGTCACTCGGGGGCGCGCCTCATAACTCGCACGAGAGGTTCTGTGTCATTTCGATTTAAAGCTTTCGTGACTGCAGGGATTCATCTTCTTGGTTCTTTTGGTAAAGTCACGTAGAAGGGAAGTAATAAAATAATACAAATAAAACATAATTAAATAATTCTCACGACGTTTCGGCCACAACGCAAGCAGCCGTCCTCAGGTGGACCACCTTCTTGGACCACCTGAGGACGGCTGCTTGCGTTGTGGCCGAAACGTCGTGAGAATTATTTTATTATGTTTTATTTGTATTATTTTATTACTTTCCTTCTACGTGACTTTACCGAAAGAACCAAGAAGAGGTTCTATGTCATGCGTGTGCACCTCGGCATAATGCGTTCTACACTAACGGTTACCAGTGGAGAGTTCCTGCAGCTCAATTGAGGCATTGGTAGTCGTCTACTCGTTTACAGCCCTACAGAGCCGGTGGTGGAAGTTCCACGTTACCACGGTGGAGGCGAGTCTCTCTGTAGGATAACCACTCGTAGACGTTGCAACACAGTTGTTAATGTTTTACAGACCCGAACCACAGTGTGAACTCGCAACATTTAGATTGCGAGCCACGCAGTGAGCCACCTTGCTCATGACAATGACCAGCAAATTGCATATTTCTACACGTCCAAAACCGCGTCCCAACGCACCGGACAATATACCCAGCGATTCTGCTAGGTCCCCACATCTGATAAAAAATTGACACCTAAGCTCTCTGCCTCCTGCGGTAATTCACTGCACAAACAACCCTCCACCGTGAAAATTACATTCGCATCTCCCTGTAGGATAACATCGCCCTGCGCACACACTCGGGGAAATCGGTGTGGCTCCTGCGAATGTGTCGCGGCTTGGCGTGTGACGGTGAATCTGTGGGGTCGCAGTGGGGGGCAGTGCTGGGAGGGCGGGCGCGCACCTTTGGCAAGTCGGCTTGCTTTGCGTTGCGACAGAATCGCGATTGCGCGGGCGTCTATGCGACCAGAGACGCGGGTTCCAAAGCTTCGGTCGAGAGTGAAGATTGTACAAGACGTGTATCGGACAGCTGCGTGCCACGGAGACGGCGTGTGGGCCCCGAGTCCTGGCCGCCGTGACGGCGCTTGTCACAAGGCGCGCCTGGGATGTGGGTTGTGTTTCGACGCTCGGGGATTTCGCATTACAAACGCTCGATAACGCTGGTCAACACACTTTTTCTGGCATAAGGTATTCCAACGGTTTAAAGGTAATTTTGGGGTGCTGATTCCAAATCTGACATCAGTTTTTGTCTATCACATTAGGTTTTTGAGATATCAAATATTGCATTTTCAATAAAAATGCAGAAGAAAAATATTAAATAAATGGATATCTACATAAAATTATATTATAAACAATATCCTAAAAAAACAGCACCATATTTTAACACTAAAGCAGTCACTGACTCGCAACAACTTGCAATCATAAGTGACAGAGTTAATTTCGGGTAAAATCAATGAAAATGGGGTATACCGATAGCATAAAACTGAGATGGTGATGGAGCAAATCTGAGATCAGATTTGGAATCAGCACCCTGAAATCAGTCTAAAACAGCTGCAAAAGTCCAGGCCAGAAATAAATGTTTTTTTTTTGTTGACCAGTGTAATACTCGTCAATAGCGCCATGGTTCTGAATATGAAAAGTGTATACTGTACTGGGTTAGGCGACGTTTCGGGCAGTGGCCCTTCGCAGCACATACGTTTAACGTGTTGCTCTCCAGCGCATTCGAGGCAAAGGAGACGCTGACTTTATTGTTTCGCTCCTAAAAAAAAGAATGACGATGACAAGAACCGCGACGTATACACCAGAGCCGTGTTGCAGCGATTCCGGTCCCATTTGCGTGTAACCACTAAATAGCAATGCCTCTTCTTCTTGGTTCTTTCGGTAAAGTCACGTAGAAGGGAAGTAATAAAATAATAAAAATAAAACATAATAAAATAATTCTCACGACGTTTCGGCCACAACGCAAGCAGGACGGCTGCTTGCGTTGTGGCCGAAACAACTTGCAATCATAAGCAGGTGCTTGCGTTGTGGCCGAAACGTCGTGAGAATTATTTTATTATGTTTTATTTTTATTATTTTATTACTTCCCTTCTACGTGACTTTACCGAAAGAACCAAGAAGATGAATCCCTGCAGTCACGAAAGCTTTAAATCGAAAAGCAATGCCTCTGTTTACGGACAAGAATCAAACGCGTCACACAATGCGCAAAGGGGCGATTTGGGGTGGGGGGAGAGGTGGAGGGTATCAATTTGCCCGAAAATGTTTAATTATCATGATGATTGCGTCAAAATTGAAATACTTCCCGTCGACAGCGTCTCACGTCATGAGGATCTTGACGAGTACATTTCCGTTGTTACTGTGTCTGCAAATAAACACGGCTATTGCACTCGCGCGTAAACACCGTCGTGTTGTCGCCGTCGCTGCTGCTGCTACGTCTTCTTCTTCCTCCTGCCCTTACGAGCCCCCTTCTTGGCACCGGGGCCTTGGGGCCACGCGAAGCCGCGCATGTTGAGGCCGTCTTGCACCCCGTGCGCGATGTAGTGCAAGTTGAGTAGCGAGGCGGGGCTCAGCAGGGACGATGATGGGTCGCCCTGCCGGGGACGCGATGCGCTCCTACGTCTCCCGCTGCTCCTCTTCCTGCTGCTCCTGCCCACGCTGCTCGCCCGGCTCTTGCTCCGATTGCTCCGAGCCTTGGGAGGCTGCGAGGGAGACGATGGGGGAAGCCACCAACTATGAAATAGTCGAGATTGGAAAAACTCGATTGCTTCAGAAGTGATTTTTGGTGTGTGTGTGTGTGTTTCAGTTTGTTATTCCACCGCATCTCCGATTAGCGCGGTTGGCTACGTACGGTGCGAAAGAAGTTCAACGTGCAGTAGTACGTACATCGAAGCTGAGAGCTGCGAGTGTAATACTGGTAGGAACCTCCTGGTTACACCAGCCCACGGGGAATTATTGTGTCCGTACGTCCGTCGTGCATCCAAAAATGGGAGGGGTGGGGCTGGGTGGAGAGGGGAGGGTGGGGAGGGGCTGGGTGGGGGGGGTGGGGCTGGGTGGCGAGGGGCTGGTCACCCCGTGGTGCCCTTATAAAACTCAACGTTTAACCTACTCATGCCGGCTTGTGCCCGCCCTCACAGTCGGGCATATTTGCGGAATACACCACGCCGCCGTTGACCCTGGCCATTGACCGAGCAACCCAACGTTCCTACCAGCTCCCTCCGCAGGAATGTGTTATGAAAGGCCGTCAGGTGTATAAACAGATGTTGAGCCAAAACAAAAGGCCAACGACGTCAAGCGGGCAGCAACAAACAGCAGTGTTATCACAGTTTGCAATGGATATGTAATTCACACTTGACAACACATTTCACCAGGTTATTATTCTTAAGAACTTGGGGTAAGAAAAGCCGGAAGAGAAGCGTTATGGCATGTAGTGTGGTGAGCCGCGTGCGTGTGTGGGTGCATCGGGGTGTTGGTGAGCAAGTGTGCGTTCGATTCCCGCTCACGGCCAACATCAGTGACGATTAACTGAACCGGTCCTGGGCCTCCCCTAGGTCGACTCAGCCTCAAATTAGTACCTGGTGCGGTGCGTAAAAGCATCGCCATTAGGGAGACAAAGGCGGTCGGGCGCGGTGCTGACCACCCACCCCTTCGTGTGCCATTCCGGCCTTCATAGGTGCTCGCAAACAGCACTTGCCCCTACAGTCTGTTAAAGCTATATGGGGATCTTTGTTTCTATACGGGGTTATTGGGGAGTGGTGGCACAGCGGTTAGCGCGCTGCGCTACGAACCCGGCGATCCGAGTTCGATTCCCGCCCATGGGCAGCACCGGTGACGATTAACTGAACCGGTCCTGGGCCTTCCCTAGGTCGACTCAGCCTCAAATGAGTACCTGGCGCGGTGCGTAAAAACATCGCCACCTGGGAGACAAAGGCGGCCGGACGCGGTGCTGGCCACCCACCCCCTCGTGTGCCGTTCCAGCCTCGCAAACAGCACTTGCCCCAACAGTCTGTTAAGGCTACACGGGGGATCTTTGTCTTATTGTGACCTGCGCGGTGTGGAGGTGAGCATGGTGGCTGAACACTGGCTGAGAACCAAACGATCTGGCAGACAGTCCTCAACATTGGGGAGGGTGGGGGGGGGAAGTAGTCAAGGAGTAGAGATCACGAGAAGAAGTCGCCATGGACATCTGCGAAAAGAGCTTCGTAAGTCATCGGATTTCTCCGGGATGAGTAAAGAATCTGAGAAGTGATTCATCGAGGCGACTGGTCGCCGTGCTGCTGTGAGCCAGAGGCACTCGCTCACTCACCATCTGACTCCCGTCGCACGCGCCGGGGCTGATGGCTCCTCTGTGTGCCTGTGAAGACAGCAGATCTCGGCAAGGCGGTCTCTCTCTCACGGGGGGTTCACACTCACAGGGGTTCTCTCTCACAGGGGTTCACTCTCACAGGGGTTCACTCTCACTGGGGTTAACTCTCACAGGGGTTCACACTCACAGGGGTTTAACTCACAGGGGTTCACACTCACAGGGGTTCACACTCACAGGGGTTCACTCTCACTGGGGTTTAACTCACAGGGGTTCACACTCACAGGGGTTCACACTCACAGGGGTTCACTCTCACTGGGGTTAACTCTCACAGGGGTTCACACTCACAGGGGTTTAACTCACAGGGGTTCACACTCACAGGGGTTCACACTCACAGGGGTTCACTCTCACAGGGGTTCACACTCACAGGGGTTCACACTCACAGGGGTTCACACTCACAGGGGTTAACTCTCACAGGGGTTCACACTCACAGGGGTTTAACTCACACGGGTTCACACTCACAGGGGTTCACTCTCACTGGGGTTTAACTCACAGGGGTTCACACTCACAGGGGTTCACTCTCACAGGGGTTCACTCACAGGGATATACACACAGGGGTTCACTCAGGGATATACACACAGGGGTTCACTCAGTGATATACACAGGGGTTCACTCTCAAAGGGGTTCACTTTCACAGGGGTTTAACTCACGGGTTTATCTCTCAAAGGGGTTCACTTTCAGGGGTTCGCTCGGGGATACACATGGGATCACTCTCAGGGGGTCCACTCACAAGGCTTCACTCTCACAGGGGGTCCGATTACAGGGGCTTACAGGGGTTTAACTGAAAGGGGTTCCCTCTCACAGGGTTTTAACTCAAAGGGGTTCAACTCACGGGGTTCACTCAGGGATATACACACAGGGGTTCACTCTCACAGGGGTTCACTTTCACAAGGCTTCACTCTCACAGGGGTTCACTCTCAAAGGGGTTCACTCAGGGATATACACAAAGGGGTTCCCTCTCACAGGGGTTCAACTCACGGGGTTCACTCAGGGATATACACACAGGGGTTCACTCTCAAAGGGGTTCACTCAGGGATATACACAAGGGTTCACTCTCACAGGGGGTCCGATTACAGGGGCTCACTCACAGGGGTTCACTCTCACAGGGGTTCACTCAGGGATATACACAGGGGTTCACTCTCACAGGGGTTCACTCAGGGATATACACAGGGGTTCACTCTCACAGGGGTTCACTCAGGGATATACACAAAGGGGTTCACTCTCACAGGGGTTCACTCAGGGATATACACAGGGGTTCACTCTCACAGGGGTTCACTCAGGGATATACACAAAGGGGTTCACTCTCACAGGGGTTCACTCAGGGATATACACAAAGGGGTTCACTCACGGGTGGCCGCTCCGAGGTTCTCGTCTCTGGCCGCGCTTCCCGTCGCCGTGGCAACCGGGGCGTGACTCGCGCCGAGAGACGACAACAACTACAGCCTGACAACTACAGCCTGACTTACCTGACTTAGCCTGACAACTACAGCCTGACTTAGCCTGACAACTACAGCCTGACAATTACAGCCTGACTTACCTGACTTAGCCTGACAACTACAGCCTGACAACTACAGCCTGACTTACCTGACTTAGCCTGACAACTACAGCCTGACAATTACAGCCTGACATCTACAGCCTGACAACTACAGCCTGACAACAACAGCCTGACTTGGCCTGACAGCTACAGCCTGACAACTACAGCCTGACTTACCTGACTTAGCCTGACAACTACAGCCTGACTTAGCCTGACAGCTACAGTCTGACAACTACAGCCTGACAACAACAGCCTGACTTGGCCTGACAGCTACAGCCTGACAACTACAGCCTGACAATTACAGCCTGACAGCTACAGCCTGACTTGGCCTGACAACTACAGCCTGACAACTACAGCCTGACTTAGCCTGACAACTACAGTCTGACTTAGCCTGACAACTACAGCCTGACTTAGCCTGACAACTACAGCCTGACAGCTACAGCCTGACTTAGCCTGACAGCTACAGCCTGACTTAGCCTGACAACTACAGCCTGACTTAGCCTGACAACTACAGCCTGACAGCTACAGCCTGACTTAGCCTGACAGCTACAGCCTGACTTAGCCTGACAACTACAGCCTGACTTAGCCTGACAACTACAGCCTGACTTAGCCTGATAGCTACAGCCGATCTTACACAGCCGAGCAATTATATTTTCTCACCTCATTACTATTGTCATTATAGTGAGTATTTAATGTGGCGCTGCACTCTGATGTTGTAGGAGAAAACATTTATTAAAACGTCTATTTAATTAAGTAGAACGTGTCGTCTATATTTATTAAAAATGCGCATTTTGATGTGACGTCACATTTCTCCACCCCCCCCCCCCCATCGTCACAAATGTCTGCCCACCCCCCATTTCGGTGCGTGACGTCATTTATGGACGGCCCCTTAGAACAACGAGCGGAGCGCCGGGCGGTTAAAATACAGCGAGTTGGCACAGTAGGGGGCGCCATCTGCCAGTCATCTCAGTCGGTCAACCAGTGGCAGCTGCTGGGTTCGGTCCCGTGACCTGTCAGCGAGCCTTCGACCGCCTCACGTGGCTTCAAAGCGCACCGGGCCTGGCACAGGTTCCGTTGTGACGTCACCACCACTTAGTGACGAACGGCGGCTCTGGGCTGAGGTTTGTGAATAGAGGGGATAATGACGTCACGAGACGCTGAGGGAGCAGGTGGAGCTGTGACGTCACGAGACCTGCGGTGGTGAGATGAAAGGAGTGATGACGTCACGAGACGCAAAGGGAGCATGTGGGTAGGTGACGTCACGAGACCTGTGGTGGTGAGATAGGTGTGGTGACGTCACGAGACGCGGAGGGAGCAGGTGGGGTGGTGACGTCACGAGACCTGCGGTGGTGAGATGGAAGGAGTGGTGACGTCACGAGACGCGGAGGGAGCAGGTGGGGTGGTGACGTCACGAGACCTGCGGTGGTGAGATGGAAGGAGTGATGACGTCACGAAACGCGAAGGGAGCAGATGGGGATGGTGACGTCACGAG